TAGAAGTCGATTTTATCTTGTCGAGTAGGGAGATGACTAGAGACTTCTGCCGTAAATGGCGCTGCTCCGTTTCGCCAGACCTCACACCCCTGCAGCGAAGACTGAATAAACTGAAATCGGCAAAAACCAACACCAAGATAATGAATATGTCCTCTACAACACCACCTGCGGCATTTGAACATCACGGCATAGTCAATTCCGTAGGGAGTTCGACTACTTTTAATGCTGACCCGTGGATTTCCAGCTGAAAATAAGTTAGCTAACAATAGTTACCAGTTTATCTGCCCGTCATTCCCTCCCCCAAGTCCTACCCCTCTTTATCCACGTCAGAATTTTTTGATGCCACAAAATTTTTGGCAGAACCGGATGGTTGCATCCGGACCGTTTGCTCCGTGGGCGACCCAGAACTGGACGATGTAGCCCACCTCCCTCAAAAACTAACAGCCTTTCCCTTCAAACTTTTTGTTTTAAATGCCAGATCCTTGCTTAATAAGATGCCTTTGCTTCAGACTCAGGTTTTCGTCCATTGTCCTGATATTGTTTTAGTAACTGAGACGTGGGCATCAGCCTCAGTAGCTGACTCCGAACTCTCTCTTCTAGGCTACAATTGCATTCGAAATGATCGCCAAGACAGCCGTGGTGGGGGCAGCTGCGTCTACGTTAAGCAAACACTTACATGTTTGCCGTTGGACTTCCCGCACTTTTCAGCGGTAGAAGGCAGCTGCTGGCACCAGGTTGCACTAAAAAATAAGTTCTCCTTACTCGTTGGCTGCGTCTATCGCCCTCCCAACGCCAATGACAATTTTGATCGCTTACTCTCACAGGCATTTCATGCTGCGGCCGACTTAAGCTTTAAGTATCAATTGGTTGCGGGTGATTTTAATCTCCCTGAAGTCCGCTGGTCTCCGCCTTCAGGCCCCAGAAGGTTCGATGACTTTCTTGAGGCTGTGGATGTCGGGATGTTTACTCAGGTTGTTGATTTTCCCACCCGAGGCTCAAGTATACTTGACTTAATTTTCTGTAGAGGCTGCTTGCCATCGTCAGTGTCATCCCTAGGCCCACTCGGGGGCTCAGACCATGACATAGTTGTTTCAACGTTGGAATTCGAGGCTGACGAAATGTCGTCCCAAAAGTACAACTTTTTCCGCGATTTCCGATCAACTCGCTCAACCGAATTATTAACACACCTTAATTCCTACGACTGGACTGAGTTCTTCCTTAGTTCGGATGTAAATGTTTGCACTGCAAAACTGTACGAAATTTTGGGTCCGCTTATTTCTCGTTTTGTCCCCCGTAAGAAAATTATTAATGTTGGGAATGAGATTTTCCTACCTTTACCCTTTCGTCGCAGATTGCGCAGGCTTTATCGTCGTTTCCATCTGCAGAACGATGTTTCTGTTCTGCCCTTGATTTGTGATATTTTTGATCGAGCTAAGAGATTGTCTGAAGAAAAACAGCTTGCCGAAGAGGTCCACTTTACCGAAAACCATTCGTTAAGTGTCTCGAAACTTTTCTCTAGAAAAATACAAACTCAGAGGAAGACGCAGTATCCCATCCTTCGAGACGATCTCGGAAATCCCATAGTTGATGCCCAGTTAACCGCGGATAGCTTCAATGATTTCCTGTCCAAAACGTTCATTGAAGACTCGACCACTCCGCTTCCGACCATCCAGTCATTGACTGGGGCAGTTCTAGAAACAATAACTTTCACTCTGTGGGATGTGACTGTTGCGATTCGGCGTTTTCGTCAATCTTATAGTCCAGGCCCTGATGGTGTCCCAGTAAGCATTTTAAAAGCCGATGCAAACACGATCTTCCCATCCCTCTTATGCAAGATATTTAATCTTGCTCTTGAAAGTGAAACTTATCCTACCTTGTGGAAGGAATCACACATTTTGCCCATTCCTAAGCACGGCAGGTCTGCATCATTTGATGACTTTCGGCCAATAAACACCCTCCCTGCAGTTTCGAAGATCTTAGAGACATTGATCAAGGATAAGATGATGTGTCACTTAACAGCGAACAACTTACTGAGTGTTGCTCAGCATGGATTCCTCAAAGCTCGATCTTGTGACACCTGTCAACTCTCTTTCTTTGACTATGTTCTCCAATCTAGGGACCATGGTTTTGCTCTTTACACAGTATATTTCGATTTCACTAAGGCTTTTGACCGTGTTGACCATGCTCTTCTCCTCTTGAAATTGTCATCTTTCGGAATAGGTGGCAAACTTTTGAATTTTATATCCTCTTATTTGGGCACTCGCACACAA